TTTATTGACTCTTTGGAAATGAATAAATTATTCTTAACTGGTATATATTTTATTTCTGCAATTTCAACAATAATGTAGTAGACAGTTTCATTTTTAACAATATAAAGCTATTCTTCTTTGCTGTCCAGCTCAGTCATTAAGGAGATATTACAAAGAGATATATCCTGGGCATATGCTGAAAAGAATAGATCCCTAAGATGGTTGTCAAAGATCACTTACCGAGAAGGGCTGGAATATTATTTGGAGACTGGTTGAGTACAAAATGAAACTGTGCATCAGCCTGATCCATTTTGTCACCTTCAAGTAGGCAGAAGCAGGCTCTCCCCAACAAATGGTTCTGTAAAGTATCATCTTAGATTTTACTAAAGACTAATCATGATTTATAATGAAAAGTATAACACTAAAATGAAAACCATATGGAAGGAGGTAATTCCTCTATCAACTGTAATGTGTTTAAACTATCAATACGCAATTCTTAATTACAAAATGAAAAATTATCCTGAAATGCAAGCCTTCTGTGTCAGTAACAATGACAAAAGGGAAAGTTCAAACTCCTTAAAATACACTTGAAATTCACCTAGAGATGTTAGAATGACTGACTCAACATGTGGGTAAGTTTTACATACTAAATTTGCTCATATTACATCAATAGTACAAGGACCAAAGAATTCCAGCTTTAATGAGGAAACCTCCTTCTTTTTGACTATATCAATCACATAATTTTAAGAAAAATTCTTTCAAAAAAAATCTGCTGCCTATCACACACATTTTGCTTTCATTTGGTATTTTTTCCCCTTTCAAAAATTAAAGAAATCTGACTTACTTTACCTGATCATACATAATAATTTTGTCAGCCATTGTATACAACAAGGTTGCCTGTGTAATGAGATCCTTCTTATTGTCCTTATTCTTTTCTTTCCGGGCCTGTTGTACATAATAAGCCGCCAGTGTATCCAAGCAAGTCATCTGGTCTTTTTCATGGTCTCTATAGTCCAAATTGCCATCTATACGTGCTGCTTCCAACAACTTTACAAACTCTTCTGTTTTTCCTTGCTTGTAGTATTCCAGCTATAAGATAAAGGATCAAATTAGAATCACTAAAACATATGTCCATATAAAAAGTTGTACACAAATGTTTACAGCAGCTTTATTTGTAATAGTAAAAACTGGAAACAATCCAAATGTAGATTAACAGGTGAACAGATAAACAAGCTGTAGTATATCTGTACAATGGATACTACTCTGCAATAAAAAGAAATTAAGTATCAATACGTGCTACAACATGGAATAAATCTCAAAGTAATTATGCTGAGTGAAAGGAGCCAGACCTCACCTCTAAAAGTACCTATTGTGCAATTCCATTTATATAAAAATCTAGAAAATTCAAACCAATCTACAATAACAAAATGCAGATTAGTGGTTGCGTGGCACTGGGGGTAGGGTTGAGGGTGGAGAGGAATGGTATGGAGGAAAAACTTTTGGGGATGATGGGTATACTCATTAATCTTGATTGTGGTGATGGTTTTGCAGGTGCATACATATGACAAAACTTACCAAATGGTATACTTCAAATATATGAAGTTTATTATAGATCAATTAGACTTTGACAGAGCTATTAAAAAAAATTGTAATCACTAAGAATGTTTCCAATCTGCTTCTTATCTAGCAATAGTTGATTTCAAACTAAAATTTTCAAACAAGCAGATCCTGATAGAAAAAGCAATAATGGGGCTGGCCCGTGGCTCACTCGGGAGAATGTGGTGCTGAGAAAAAGCAATAATGGAAGGTATAAAGGATTCTAAACAGAAAATTTGGTTCTTATTCTAGATCTACAAAAATTATCTGTGACTTTGGGCCTGCTGAATAACTTCCCTGGGTATTTGTTTCTTTTATAAATAATAAAATGAATATCTGTCATTTGTTAACCACCTACTATGGATCACATATCATGCCAGGGATGGAACTTCACATACATTTTCTCTAATCTGTACAACCACCCTATGAAGTAGGTACTAACATTCCCATATTTTAGATGTGAAAACAGGCTCAGAATTTATATCATTTGTTTAAGGTCACACAACTAGTTAGCAGATAAGCTGAGACTTGAACAAAGGCTCCTCTAACACCAAAGCCTACACTCTTTTCCCTAAAACAACATATACCCCACAATGTTTCATCAATTTATTCTACCACAGGTGCCATGCTAATCCCCCAACATTCTAATTTTCATGCTATTAAATTAAGTGTTGTTAAAGAAGTCATATTTACTTTAAAAAACAACAACAACAATCCTAAGTTCCCTTCTGGTTTTAAAAAATGTGTGACAAGAATTAATGGCTTGGTCTCCACAGAACAGGAAAACTTGGCACTTCAAGTCAAGAAGGCACTGCTTGTCACTGAAAGTACTTCTCTGTAAATCCACATCCAAAAGGAGGAAACTCTTAGAGTAGGCTTGAGCATGGACAGAAGCCCAATTCCAGACCTAATTCTCTGACCCTTCAAGACAATAAGGAGCCTCTTACGTATCTTTATATGAAAGCAACCTGTAGCACACCTGCTTAGGAATAATGATTACAGTATTTCCACTACCTATTCCCATATAAAGGAAACACCCATCATTATGCAGCTGGTGGTAAGGGGTGGAATATATAGAATTTTAGGCTTTCATTTTGGATTTTCCTGAAAATCTCCAGTAACATTACTATTATGGAGGGGACCAAACAGGACAAAAAACATAAGCCTGAGATAAACTTCACCCAAAAGGGCTTTTGTGGCTTAGCCTGTAACCCAATCAGATTCTAGAGTATTTTACAGGAATTGTTTTACGTTATGGGAAACAATTTTAACTAGCAATGTTTACATTCTAGCACCTTGTTTTTTTCCTCAGCTAAGCCAGTCATTATTGAATAATCACTAAATAATCAATACTCAATACACAGTACTATTTAGGTTAAATGAATTTTGCCTTTACCAACATATACTAATTTACCAGTAGAGTAGCACACCATTTAAGAAACTGGTCTTATTGTTCCACAAATGATAACACAATTAACTTCCATACACATGATATAATTAATTTACTTATCATGAACCCAAGCTGGCTATTACTATATCTGAAAACAGAAACCACATATTTTCCCAGTCAACAAATAATAAAAAAAA